GTGTTCCTGCTGTGTGTGGTACTGGGTGTTGAACCCAGGGCCTGGTGCCTGTTTAGCAAGTATTCCACTAACCTAGCCACACCCCCAGCCTAATAATGCCAATTTTAGAAGTTACTTACCTTTTATTTTCACATACTACAGAGAATAACATTCAGTGTCATAAAATTCTACGACATACTGAACAAGAGTTTAAAATAATCTATCCTGTGATCTAACTACATGTAGGCATGTGTGACTTACCGTGTAATCTAGTTTTATGCACACACACACATATGTATGCTTACATGCACACACATGTACTGTTTGAAATATCCCAGGACTTTGAACAAAATGTACCCAGTAATTACCTTGTGAGTAATTTCTGTTTTCTTTTTTATGCTTTTCTGTATTTCCAGATGTTCCTTAATGAACACTTTTATATTTATAAACAAATTAAATAAAGCCAAGCATATCTCCTATCTTTTTTTTCCCCAACTACAGCAGGTCAGGGAGGGGGAACTAGACTCAGAGAGCACCCCAGTTCCAACAAAGGGCATTGCCCAGTGAGGTGGCTGCAGGGATGGCTTTGGTCTGGAACACCCAACCATCTGCCCTTGGCTCGGTTTCTGGGCTGGTCACTCTGAAGAGCTGTGTGCCCGCTTAGCTCCCCCAAGCTCCGTGGGCAAGGGGAGCCAGGAGAACCCTGTCCCTGGCAGGCTTTTCTGATTGGAGGGCTGGCCTGGGGCCGTTTGCATCTCTGTGGGAACAGCTGCCTTCTGTGTTACCCTGCCCAGCGTAGGGTCTGGGGTTCGGATCCCTTTGCACCCTTGTTGGTCACCCTGCTTCCTCAAGGCCTAGTGGGAGTAGCACTAACATTGGTGGGCAGAGCCTGGGTCAGTCACTGAATGTAAACTCATCCACTGGTAACCCTGAAATCTTAGGGCTATTGTTTGGGGGCAACCAAAGCTTTAGATGAGAAGTAACTTGCCCAGAGAACCTTGGCCAGTAGTTGGTTGAACTTAACCCCTTGCCTGGGCTTCCAGTTCTTATACTTTCAGTTCCCATGAGTCTCTGGACTCAGTAGCTGATTAAGGTGGTGTGGGTTTAGGGCCTGGATTCTTTCTAGTTCTGTGGCTAGGCTTTGAAGTTGACTGTGATCTTCTCTGGGAACAGGATTCTGCTTTCATCAGAAGCTGCCAGGGGCCCAGTGTTCACTACCTCTCTCTCCTGCCTGCTGGTCTCACAAGGGTGCTAAGGGAGACACTCTGGTTCCTTTTCTCTCCCTGATTGATGGAGCAGATTCTGCAGCAGCCTGTGGGTATAAATAAGAGCCCGAGACTGTTAAAAATAATGTTTTAACCAAATCTCAAATGGGAACGCGGAGGCACAGAAGGTTAAGGACGCGGTGTGACGCAGAGCTTGTCAGCAGCAGCAAATGTCAGTGTCTAGTCCTGGAGAACAGCCCGCCACAGAGGCCAGGTTTATGGCTGGTGTGAAGGCAGCCCACGGTGTGGTCGGCTGGCTGTCCCTGCAAGGAGCAGGGAGGTCATTGACTCTGCTCAGAGTCTTCAGTGAGGTACCACTGTGCTTGCGTGCTCTCTCTCTGTGTCTCTGTCTCTGTGTGTGTGTGTATGTCTGTCTGTCTGTCTGTCTGTCTGTCTCACTCCTTCCCTCTCATACTCCCTCTCTCCCCTCCTCTGTGTGTACTCGCTGGCCCATAAACTTCCCAGGATTCTCTGCCTCCTGTCTCCCCACAGGAGCAATGGGATTCCAAACACTTTTATCCTGACAGGTTTTTATGTTGGGTCTGGGGATTTGAATTCAGGTCCTCATGCTCATATGGCAAACAAACCCACCGAGTTAGTCTCTCATTGGTGTGTGTCTAAGTTAATTAATTCACTCATTTATCATAAGGATGTGTATGTGTATAGGCACATTCATGTCACACCATTTGTGTGGAGATCAGACAACAATCTACAGTCAAACTCGCTGGTTCCTAAGAATACCTGCAGGCCGGGAAGCTCCCCACACCCCCACCTCCACCCCATCCCTGGTCTGAAGGAAGCAAAGCATCCACACAGGAAAGCCAGAAATGAGCCGGATGCCTTCGGACCCCATAATCTCATTATAGTCACACGGTTTCTCCCTCTCTGAGACACACATAATAGGTCGCCACTGAAATGTTTTTTTTTTCCTCACCTATCCAGGATTTGAAATTATTTCTGTGGGCAGAATTCAGTAATAGACTCACCAATGATAAGACACTTGCCTTTCAGCATTGTTAACCTACGGCCACAGTCAGGATTGGCTACTCGGTTCTCAGATCTCAGAACAAGATGAAAACACAGCTCTGGGCTCAAAAATGACTCAGACGCTCAGGCAGGTAACGGCGGACAAGCATGGGCTCCTTGTGTGCGCGTGGCCCTGTGGGACCGAGCATGCCACACACCTACGAAGCCAGTCCTAGGTAAATACTGTGATTTTACTTCCATCTTTGTGGTCTCTCCCAGCCCTACATTTTGTTTTGTTTTGATGGGATTATCGGTGTGGACCGCCACTCTGGTGTATGCAGTGCTGGGGATCAAACCCAGGGCTCCACGAATGCTGAACGAACACTTTACTAACTGAGTACATTCACAGCCCTCTTCATTATTTCTTCTTTCCCCCACTTCCATGTTCCTCCCTTGTTCGTTTGTTAAAGAAGTTTTTTTTTTATTTTTATTTTTTATGTGTATAGGTGTTTTGCCTGCATGTATGCCTGTGTACTGTGTGTGTACAATGCCCAAGGAGGCCAGAAGAGGGTGTTGGATCCCCTGGAACTGGAGTTACAGATGTTTGTGAGTCCCCATGTGTGTGCCAGGATTAAAGGTATGGGACATCGTGCCCAACTCTCAAGATTTATTTTTAAGTGTGTGTGTGTGTGTGTGTGTGTGTGCGAGTGCACACTCACAAGTGTGCAGGTGTGTGATGAGGCCGGAAAAGAATGTCAGGTTCCCTGGAGCTGGAGTTACAGGCAGTTGTGAGCAGCCTGATGTGATTGCTGGGAACCAAATATGGGTCCTCTCAAAGCGGTACATGCTTTTTTACCCATGTATTTCCAGCCCCCTTTGGTTTTGACAAAGTTTCTCACTATGCAGCCTAGACTGCCTCAAATTCACAATTTCTCTACTTTTGATTCTGAGTGCTGGAATTACAGGTGTGAACCCCACACCCAGCCCTTTGGGACAAACTGAGCTCTGAAGACAAAGAAAGCAGATGCAAAGGAGGCCCTGTTCCAGGAAGATAACGTTTTGGACTCAATGAAAATACAAAGTGGGCTTTGCAGACACCGCTGTCCCTGTCACCACTTGCTGAAGCCATGGTCAGTCCCACATGGCACCTGATGGTGGGCCTTGGGCTGGTCTTCTTCAAGCTATTCGCCGTCAAAGTTCCAAAGGCAGCAGAAAACTTTGATGATCCGAGCGCTGGAGAGAAAGGATTTGATTATGAGTTCCCCCTTCTGTAGAATTATTCCAGGATTCAGGTGGCAGGGGAGCTGCTTCATACTCTACAACACCCCATAATGGCACTGGCAGCCGGTCCATCTACAGGGAGAAATTTGAGGATGAGAACTTCATCCTGAAGCATTCAGGTCCCGGCCTCTTGTCCAAGGCAAACACAAATAGTTCCCAGTTCTTCATCCGCCCTGCCAGGACTGAGTGGCTGGATGGCAAATGTGGGCTTTGGAAAGGTGAAGGAAGGCATGGGCCTTGTGGAAGCCATGGAGTGTTTTGGACCCAGGAACAGCGAGACCAGCACGAAGATCGCCATTTCCGACTGTGGACAGCTCTAATTTCTTCTGATGGGCGGGCATCTTCCTCACCAGACCATTCCTTCTATAGCTCAGGAGAGCGACTCTACCCCATCTGCCAGAAATACTGGGTTCCACATTTTCCTCATTCCCCTCCAAGTCTAGCTAGATTGAATAAAAATAAGAAAGAAAAAAAAAAAAAAAGGAAAGAAAACACCAAGCGGAGTTCCTGGTAAGGGCCACAGTGGAGAAAGCAGTCAGGTTCCCCGCCCCCCTTGAAAATGAGTGTGTTTTAGACTGAATTCTCTTGAAGGGACCACCCTGCCTTGATGGAATTCCCACTGCTCAGCAGTGGAGTGGTTGAGATTGACTGTCACAGGGCTTGTGGATTTGCTGGTTACTTTGAAAACGCAGTGGGAAGTATCATCCCACACTCTTAAGACAGGGTCTCCAATTTCCCTGGTAGGCAAATCCGCCCCCCTCCCCACCACCACCACGAAGCCCGTGGGGGATGCTGGGAACACCTTGGCAACCTCTGGAGGCCAAGAGTCTGTGGCTCTCAGAATGGGTGCCATGGCTTTCTTAGCTAGCTCCTGGCTCCACCCCTCTGTGTCCCTAGCCATGTCATAGAAGTTTCCAGGAAGGTGGACAGTGTCATCACGTGCTCCAACGGCTGAGTTCTTCTCCGAGCCCCGTGTGGACCGACTCTAGACAGAACTGAAATGAAGATACTCACTCAGCAGAGAGGTGCCGATCTGTCGCCACCACCCACTTTTGTGGAAGAAAAGAACACATCCCTCCTACCCCATCCTCACCTACTTCCAGACTGGAGTCTGGGCTCTTCTTGTTTCCCTACTAGGAAAAAGACAAAACAAGTTCTAGGGCTTTCTAAGCTGCCCCTCTCAATCTCAATGTTACGGTCTGTTTTTTTTTTTTTTTTTCCTCCTGTCTCCCCGCCGGCCTGCTTTCTGTCTTTGTTGCCAAGCTCAGACGTCGCTCCTGAAACCCAGCCCAGCCTCTGTGAAGTCCGGAAACTTCGAGTTCAGCGGCTGTGCACGAAGTTGGGGTGGCGAGGCCAGAGAGATGGGCAGTGGCACCCGGAGCTGCCTGAGGACGTGACTCCGGGCTATGGCAGAGTCTGCTCCTTAGGGACCTCGGACAGTCCCGGCGGTGGCCGTGAACTTGACTCCGTGATTCTTCCCGGCCCCCCCCCCCCCCCCCCCCCCCCCCCCCCCCCCGCACCGCCCAGGGCTCCGGTTGACCTGGTAAGTGCTCCGCCCTCTGCTCGGCCCAGGCCGGGTCTGAGGTGGTGGTAGCTGCTGAAGCTGGAGGGAACGTCAGGGGCACGCGTCGGGGGCCGCCCTGGGGTGCAGTCTGAGCCCCAGCCGGGCAGCCCAGCCTCGCACAAAGGAAGGCTGCAGAGTTAGGCCGGGAATGCTCCGCTGAGACGGTTTCCTTCCTCAGCCAGAACTGCAGCAGGGGGTCTTAAAGGGGGGGAAAAAGAGTGTTTCTTGTTGTACATGGCCGGCCCCTTTGGGGATGCGGGACGAGAAGCATGTGTTAGCCTTCCTAGTCTGGGCTGCCCAGAGGCAGCACACTCAGCCAGGGCTTTACCCTGCTGCAGGAGTGGGGGTGGACAGTGTTGCCTGAGGTCAGCCAGGCTGTAAGTGGGCATGGCCAGTGCCAGAGACACAAGGCAGCTGTGGACAGAGGGTCTGGGGAGGAGACAGAGTAGGGCCCTGGAAGTGCTAGTTTCTGGGTTCAGACCCTAAGACCACTTGTGTAGGCCACTTCTCAGCACCATTTCCCTTTACCTGAAATGAGGACTGGCTTAGAGAATAGCGTGTGTGTGTGTGTGTGTGTGTGTGTGTGTGTGTGTGTGTGTGTGTGTAATCCCCATGAGGTTGAACTCCCCTTCCCAATCCACAGGCAATGGCAACCTCCCAGAGTTCTGCCCTGAGTCAACAAGACTATAACCAGGTACCCCAGCCATTGCAGGGACCACAGGAACCACTGGCTAGCTCCAACTACCAATGTTGGCCAGGTCTCCAGCTGTCTAGAGACCAGCCCTAACCTATATCTCTGTCCCTTGGGAAACCCAGGTATGAGCTAGAGGTCTGGGCCCCTGGATCCCAGCAGGCTACCTGCCCTCAGTACCCCAAACCCCAGCAGGTTTTCAAACAAGGGTCTGGAGAGAAGAATGCCAGACTTCCATAAAATTGAAAGTATTATGGGCCAAGGAAACAGGCCCCAGGCTCTTGCAAACTCCCAAGGTTGTGAGCCTCTTGTACATGTGAAGGGAATGGGCTCATGTTCAAAGGCAGGCTTCCTAGTGCCTTGGGGACTCAGCTAGAGCCTTGAGGAGGAAGCCACCTGGATTGGAAGACAGATTTCTGCTTTCACTATACCTCATGGAGAAGGTAAGTGGCCTTTTAAAGCCATATTTGACTGTGTGAGATGATTCCAAAGTTAAAAATTTCCCCCAAATCAAGATTCCCAGCACTGGAGGGATGGGTCAACAGTTTAGAATGTTTGCTGGGTGGGCATGGTGACACATGCCTTTAATCTTAGGGTTCAGGAGGCAGAGGCAGGTGAATCTCTGTGAGTTCAAGGCCAGCCTGATCTATAGTGAGTTCCAGGACAGCCAGGGCTGTATAGAGAGACCCTGCCTCAAAACACCAAAACAGTCTGGCGGTGGCGGCGGTGGCGGTGGTGGCACATGCCTTTTATCCCAAGCAGAGCCAGGTGGATCTCTGTGAGTTCGAGGCCAGCCTGGTCTACGGAGTGAGATCCAGGACAGGCACCAAAACTACACAGAGAAACTGTCTCAAAAAACAAAAACAAAAAACAAACAAACAACAAACAAACAAAAAACACCAAAATAAACAAACAAAAAGAGGGCTTGCTGCTCTTCCAGAGGAAGAATGCCAGCTTTTGGTCCCTAGCATCCGCTTCTGGTGGCTCGTAACCACCTATAATTCCAGCTCCAGGGAATCTGATGACTTCTTCTGGCCTCCACAGGCACATACCCACTTAAACATATACATGATTGCGTGTGTGTGCGCGCGCGCGCGCGTGCATGCGTGCATGCGCACATGTGCGCAAGCGCACACACAAATACTCATAATTTAAAATTTAAAATAACTATTTTTTTTTAGTAAAGACTCCAGATCTGTCTTGGCCCCAGAGCTCTGCTCAGTCAGTTCCCATGACGGTCAGATGCCGCAAGGGAGACAGGATGCAGGAAGCAGGTCTGAACTTGAACTCCAGTCATGTCCCAGGTAGTCAGAGGCAGGATGCTGAACGCTGGGACATTTGTGTCCTCCTCAGGCAGGGTCAGCTCTGGGCACACAGAGCCTGCCTCTGCATCCTGACACGACCCCATCCTAGTGGAATGGTGTCCCTTGCTTGAACCTTCGTGTCCTCACTGGTTACAGAGCATAACAAGAGTTCTGACTCGGGCATCTCTCTGGGCTGGTCGAGAAGATATTTGCAGCATCTCATCAGCTCTTCAGTGAGTTCCCTGCTAGCTCACAGCTAAGAAAGCCCTTTCCGACATCAAATGCCTTTCCCCTCGCTTTTGGTGTTTCTTTTCACTGAGCCCCTCCTCATGGGGATCGAGAGGCAGGGAGAAGCTGCCCTGGGCAATGCCAGTGTCAAGATTAGGTTCTCTAAACCCACATCCCAAGCAGAGGCTCTGTTTCCTGCACAGTGCCCAGGCCACTTGTCCTATAATCTCTTGAATGCCTGTAGAGAAGGCAGCTGTCTGCTTCTCTGTGGGTGCTGTTGCAGTTGCTGAAGCCTTCTGAGTACCCTTCACAGTTACTTGAGGGAGACCAAAGGGGCAGGTAACAGCTCTGTGCCCGAGGCATCTGGTTTTACTAGGGAGAGCACTCCTAAGAAGGTCCTGAGAACATAGACTCCTTTCCATCTCTAGAAAAAAAAAATCATCAGGGAATGGTTTTTGTTGTTGTAATTGTTTACAAACCTGAGCCCAATTCTCGTGGGTTTTTTTGTTTGTTTGTTTGTTTTTCCAGCATTCTATTTACTAATGCCAGGTCTGTGTTGGTGACCTCCACCTACTCCCTAACAAATATGTCTCTTGCCCTGGGGATAGCTAGCATTTATATACTTTAGTTTTCTGGGGTTAGATTCCCAATTTTGGAAAATCTGGATGAAACGTAAGACGAAAAGGAGTTACTGAGTGGCAGACCAGCAAATCTGGTAGCTGTCTGTAGAGGCGGGACGTTGAGGTCCAGCTCTGTGGAGCCCTGTGGGATTTGTCTCTGTCTCTGTAGGCCGTGCTGGCCTTGGGATGGAAATGTGTGGCCTTCCTAGTTTAAGAGTGAATGACGCATTTCACGATGGTGACAGTGGAGGATTTAACAGAATGTAGGGCCCTTCTGAACTCAGGTGCTTGCTGAACACTGGGCCTGTGTGGCAGCAGGAGTCCCAAGCCGCTGAGCCAGGGCTGTCCCTTGTACCTGTTCATGCTGAGGCTTCGGAAGGCCGTCGGCAGCCACATTGAAGGCTCACCATTCTTCTTCCTCAATGTGTGTGTGTGTGTGTGTGTGTGTGTGTGTGTGTGTGTGTGTGTGTGTGTGTGTGATGTGTGTGCGTGTGCGTGTGTGTGATGTGTGTGCGTGTGCATGTGTGTGTGTGTGTGTGTGTGTGTGTGTGTGTGTGTGTGTGTGTGTTAAGGGTATTCTGTGGTAAGCTTAGCTCTTTTGGATCCTCCCAAAAGAAGAAAACCATCTTTTAGTTACCTTTGAATTCACACTGAGTGCACCCACTGGGAACAGCTCACCCACCTTCCATGAGAACAAAACACATTCATGTCTTTGTGTGTCACACAGTATCTCATGAGTATCTCACTAAGAAGCTGATCACAGCTCTTTGCCTGTGTCAAATGACATAGGGCTACAAAGTGATTGTCATGGCTAGCGAAGAGGAGATCCTTGGGTGGACTTCCTCAACCAGTCCCTCATCACTGGACGTGAAGATTCTTCCCAAACTCCTTTGCTGTTAACCATAGCACAGAGTGCACACTTGTGCATATCCTGCTTCCCAAGGCTGTGAGTCCATTCAAGAGCCCTGGTCAATCTGCTAAGGGAGAGCTTTTGGTTTGGGGAGCTTCTTAAGGCTATCTGAAATTTCACCTGGCCCAAGTGTCTCAGCCATCAGACTTTTGTGGGTGACACACGGATGCCATAGCCCTGGCATCTACAGTGGTCCTTTTATCCAAGTGTCATGGGAATCCCATGCTGGCCACAGACTATCCTGTTGCTCTTATGGACGGACACAGGAATAATCACAGAGCTGACATTGGCCCCCGTATCACTAAACTGTGGCGGGGACATGGGAGACCCATGTAGCAAAGTAGACTGCCTGGACCCCTGTAGAATGAAATAGCATGATGGCCGCTCATGGACAATGCTCAGTCAATGGCCAAGAGGAAGAGGAGGGATAAAGGAGGAGGAAAGAAGCAGGAATGAGAAGGTAGAAGAGGAAGCAAGGGAGGAGGTGGGGAGCAACAATCTCATCTCTGGCAGGGGAGGGCCACGGGGGAGAGAAGGCTTTGCCAGGCATCAACCCACCTAACCAAAGGCTCCTAAGAACCTGAGCTACACCGACTGCTAGGGGTCGCCAAGCCCGGCCCCACAGCACCGCTGCAAATGAGCCCCGACTGTGGAATGGCTGCCCTGTCTATCTGGGTCTTTGCAATGTTCTGCACCCTCAGGGCCACTGATACTGTAGCCAGAACAAAGCAGATTCATTTTCTTTCTGGACAGAAGGTTAGAAATCCGGTGGAGATCTCACTGGGCCAAAAGCAAGGTATTAGGGGTGGTTGTTCTGCAGGAGAGAGACATTTCTCGACAGGGGTTGGAGGAACATTTTTGGGGTGACTACTGTGTGTCAGGTCCTTCATGACCCCAACCCCTGAGGGATGGAAAGAGTGGCCCCCCTGAGTGAAGTCAGGGCTCTCCCTGGTTTTTCTTCTTCTTCTTCTTCTTCTTCTTCTTCTTCTTCTTCTTCTTCTTCTTCTTCTTCTTCTTCTTCTTCTTTTCAACCTCTGGTGGCTGCCTGCATTTTTTTTTGCTTCTTGTCCTTCCTCTGTCTTCAATGGCAGCGATTCTCTCTGCCTAAAAGGCTTGTGGGTAGTCCAGGCCAGCTTTCTGTTCCAGGTTCTTAACGTCATCGTACCTTCAGTCTACATTGTCTTGAAAGGTGACGACACACCTATAGTTTCTACGGACTGGGATCTGAGCATCTCAGGGCCATTATCCCGCCCAGCAAGGGTGGTGTCAGGAATAACCTGAAGTTTCCTGGAGCGCTAAGTAATGTCCCTCTCCTCCTCTTCCTCTTCTTCCCCTCCCCTTCCTCCCGCTGGTCCTTCTCTTTTTCCTTGCTTTGAGTGTGCACTTATATATGGTCAGGGAAGCCAGGGACATAGAAACCTGTCCTAGTGCAGACACCCTCCTGCCTACTCTGGATGGCCCGCCTGCAGGAACACCAGCTTCAAGGCTTCCCCTGCACCTTCAGGAGGGATCTGGGGCAGGGGGTGTGTATGAAGTTACGAATGTGAATCAGGTTCCCCTTCATCCCTCCAGCCCCTGCGGGAGTTGAAGATGGCCCCCTCAACACCCCGACGAGGAATACAGGCTCTCAGAAAGCAGCAGCTTGTCCGTAGAGGAGCCTCATCTCCTGGAGAGGCCCCCGATGTGGCTGGGCTTGTCCCATGAGCAGGAGGGTGAGGGTCACTGAATCCCGGCTGAGCCTGTCTTCTCTCGGATGGCTAAAAAGAAGCCAGAATCACTTCTCATGGTAACACTCAAGAAACAGGCTCAGAGAGGTGGATTGATTTCCCCAAAGACTGCTCTTCCGCCCAGACCTTCATTTTCCCTCCCCTCCCTACAGACACCCGGCCCATGTGCAGTCTCTAGCTGTATAAGCCCTGAGGGGTACTAATAGGGGCTGGGTGGTCCCTCTTTGAAGATGCTTTGCTGCCTGTCTTTGAAGGATGCTTCTCTAACATGAATACCTTCTGGACAGGCGCCAGCCCACTGTACGGATTGGTGATTACAAGCCAGGGTGTGGGGTTGGACTGCACTGAGTTCAAATCTAGTGTCCTTATTTTGAGGTGATTGATCTTTCTATACTTAATTAACCTAACTGCAAATAGGGGTGGTAATAATGCGATAGACCCCAAAGGGACCCCCCAGGAGGATCTTGCTCAAGGACGATCTGTACATACTTAAGGGCAGTGGAATCCCATGGCCACAGGATTCAGGTTGACTTCTCAGCAAACTGACTGCCGTGTTGGGCTCACCAGACTTGTTCCTGCTGGAGGCTTCTCTGGCTCCACCATTACTCATCACAAAAACAAATGACCCAAGACCTCAAGCAGGCTACCTGCTCAGCCAGGAGCTGTACTATCACCCCTCAACCCCACAGGGGCGGATATGAGTGATAGAACCCTTCCCCTTTTACAGATGGGCAGACTGAGGCCAAGGAAGGCCAGACAACTTACTGCTAACGAGGTCAGGGCTGATTCTTAATGATGGCTGGGTCCCAAAGCCAGGGCTGTGGGCTTCAGGAATACATAGTCCTTCCCTCTCTCACTCAGCCAGCAGTCCTAGACTTTTCCAGAAGGGCCACAGGCCTCCTGTACCATTGACAGAACAGGGTGCCTGCTCTCATGGCCAGGCTTATGGAGCAGCTTCTGAATTCAGGAGGGACTTGTATGTGTTGGGGGGGTATGGACCTCAGAGCACCATTGTAGCTTGCATGTGAAGGTGGAGATCTATATGAGGAAGGCTTTCTCAGCCTGAAGTGTCCCATTGGGTGCCTTGGGCACAGCACATTTTTGTGTGAGCCATGTTGGAACATAAAAGAACCTTTCTGGGCAGCATCTGGGGTCAGGTGGCCCTGGACACAGGAAGGTGGCCAGTGTGGGCACCATCAGGGTCTCCTCAAACCATCTGCAGCAGTGCCCCCCCCCAGGGCCTGGCATGGGAGGAGTTAAGCCGCAGTGGGCACCTTGGCACGTAGCGCTGGCCAGAATGTCCGGCTCCCCACCCCCACCGCTTTTCTTCCTTTTTGCCTTTTTCCTTCTTAATTAATCATACGCTGCTGCCCAATTTAAATATGGAAATACCCAGGCTGAGGCTCTGCAATTATTCATGAAGCCAGGCCTGCTGTCCAGGCTCTCGGGCTGCGGGGAGCATCGTGGCTTCGCCTCCTTTCTGTGAAATTATGTGCACAAAGGCGGCTTCTTATCTGGGTGTGTGAACTAAATAAATAAATAAGGGCTTTTGTTTGTTTGCGGGCTCCTGCACATGACTGTTTTGACTAAAACCACTCGTGTTGTCTGAGCCTTTATGGGACCCAGGAGACAGGGGGTGGGATGGGGGGTGGCCAGGGCTGGAGGGGGGGTGGTGGCCGCCGGGCACCTGGGGCTCGCTCCCTCCCCTGGCACCAGCTTCACTCCAGCAACCCCCTACACACACTCCACTGGAAAGTTCGCCCTGCCCGGGCTGGGCTCCCAGGCAGCCTGGCACAGTGCCAGGCTCGCCGCAGAGCGCGGGCAGCAGGGTGGGGCGAGCGGCAGAGGCGCGGAGGACGTGGCTGGGCGCCCTGGGCACGAGCAGGACCCGAGGCCGGGGGCCAGGGGCCCAGAAGGTGAGGGCACTCCGGGTGGGAGTAGGGTGAGCCTCGGGGGTGGGCAGGCAGTGCAGCCTGGCCGGGGAGCAGGCCTCGTGGGAAGAGGCTGGCTGGCGGAAGAACCAGGCACAAAGCGTGGCAGTACCAGGCCGCCAGCATGCACCGTGGCCTGTTCGCCCAAGCCGGGGGGCTGCAGCCTGGGATCCGGGGTCGGGCGGGGGGGCGGGGGTGGGATGCGTGTGCATGAGGCCTCCGTAGGAGCAGCAGCCAAGGAGCTGAGCCTCCGCTGCAGGGCCAGCCCATGCAGCCCAGCGGAGGAAGGCCAAGCTAGGCAGGCGGGGCCCAGGGCTGTCAAGGAGAAAAACATCCCAAGCCCTGCAAATTGCTGCTCTCAGCTTTTCCCCCCTCCTCCTGCTGGGGGTGAAAAAAAAAAAGCAGTGCTTCCTCTGGAGGCGGATGCAAACGGATGCAGAATTTTAACCATCTCCTGCATCAACCAGGCCTTCCCCTGCAAAGTTTTCTCGGGCTAGGCAGTGGCACCATAGGAAAGGGGATGTCAGGAGCCCACTTGCCTTTTCTGTGAGATACTGGGAAGTCAAGGCTTCCTCAGCACCCCTTCCAGAACCGGGACCTGAAGCAGCTGCTGAGGGTGCCAGCTTGGGGCCATAGTGCCTGGTTCTTGCACAGTCCTGGTGCATCATGGGTGGTGGCAGGGTGCCAGTTATTGGTTCTGTTATTGCTGAGCCTGGTCTTTGCTCTTGGGGTTGAAGATGTTGACCAGGCCCTTTTGAGAACCCAGTGGAAACTTCATTGGAATCGGGGGTCTCTGTTCCTGCTGACTTGAGCCCTCAGTGGGATCCTGAATTTTTCTCCTAGCTGATTTTCATGTTTTAAAAATCTTCTGGAATGCTTTCTGGTGACTGGTGGGGGCCTCTCCCACTGTCTGGCTAGGGAGAAAGGGAATAAATTCTAGAGGACAGTGGTTAGAGGAAAATGGTAGGTATAGTCCCAGAAGGGGAGTCTATGTCTGGCTGACAAGCTGTAAGGTCTCCAGCTGTAGGTATGGGAGCTTCCAGAATGGCTTGGTTCCCTGTGATGGAGAGCTGCCCCACCAAAGGCCCACAACATGTTTTAATTTCGACTCCTTCTATAATTAGAAGAAAAAAATGAGTATGAAATAATGAACATGTAATATTGAACCCAGCCGGTGTTATATACATCTCTGGTATGTCCATAACATAGAATTCTCAATATTTATGGAGGAGAGGCCTGGAAAGGCAACAGTGATTGGATCAGGAAAAACCGAGCTGTCCTGGGCTGATCTGTTTTTCCCAGGTCTGAGGTTCTGATGTCTGGCTCTGGGGGTGCCTTGGGAGCCATCTGGGCTTCTGTGAATCTGGCTTCTCTGATGGTTGGCAGGACAGGGTGACTCTGTTTGTCATGGAGAAGAGCCATGGCCTGTTGGCTGTGTGTGCATGCGTATGTGTGTGTGTGTGTGTGTGTGTGTGTGTGTGTGTGTGTGTGTGTGCAGGCACGCTCCTGTTTACCCATGTGTGTTCCACAAAGGGTTCCCCAACACCTAAAGGTAATAATCACAATCCTTAATACAGGACAATACCAAGCTGAGGCAAGGGACAGTGTGGCCATCTGTGCCTGGTTTTCTTGGATCCTAAGTGAGAAGTCATTCTGAGCTGGAGAGCCCTTGTCTGTCTCCCTAAGAGAAAGTAGTCTTCAAGGCCTCCTTCTGGACCCCAGGCCCTCTTCTGGCCCAGTCCTATCTAGTAGAAACATAGTGTGAGCCCCAGTCACAGGCCTATCATCAATCCTCACAGGTCCTCACAGCCACAGTTTGAAAAGGCAAAAACAGAAGCAAGAGAAGCCACTTTGACGATAAAAATCCATTTGCTCTAACATAGATCCCCAATAGTAATCTCAACAAGGCAGACAGAATTAGTAATGTGAGACACCTTACATTTCCCCCCCAACACAAAGTCCTCAACACTCTAAACATATTTTATGCAAGGGCTCAAACTTGGATTCTCCGCATCTCAAGAGCTTGGAGGCTAAGAGCATCGGCAGCCTGCTGTGCTGGGCGAGGCAGGTTGAACTGGTTTCTGTGTCCAACCTCAGAGCTGGGAGCTTTCTCTTGCCGGTGTCCCTTCCTGGCTAGGGTAGGGGACTCCTCTACTGGATTGTCAGGCCCCCAGCAACCCTGAGAATGGATAACGGGAGACTTGGGCTGCAGGTTTCCAGGGCAAAGGCGAGCTGCTGGAAAGGTCTCTTCCACTCTGCTCCCAGACACCAGGGGACCACACAAAAGGCTGGCTTCAAGCTTACAATGGTGGGGCGGTTAGTCACTGTGCCAGGGCAGCAGGCAGGCAGACAGAACCCCCTGTGTCTGTGCCTGTCAGGCTGGGCCCTACAGCCCCTGATCCCCTGCCTGCGTTCCACCCTATCCCTGCCTGCATGCTTTGTTGGCACCCCACCCTGCTCCCCAAGTTAACCCTCTGCTATCCACCGCCTACCTGGCAGCCTCTGATAGCACATCCTTGCCAGGCTGTGGTTGCCATCGGCTACCTTGGCCAAATTACACTCCTTCTGAATCCGGGTTCAGACCTGTAAGATTTCATTGGCCTCTCTGGGGAATGTCACTGTGCACACACTATCACTGGATTTTCACGTTAGAGGACACCATGTGCAGGGCTCCCAACTTAAAAAAAAAAATCCCAGCTGAGTTGGAAAGTAGGTATGGTCCAAGGATAAGGAAGGAGGAACGCCAGGACTGTGAAAGACGAGGGAGTCACCCTGGAGTGGTTGGGTGTGTGTTTCAAAGTGAGCAGACTGATGTGAATATTTTAATCCCGTGTGTAGATAAATGGATAAGATAAAATAAGTTCATTATGACCCCGCCCTGTCTGGAGACTCCCTAAAGCACTTTTGTTGTTAGCCTCGGCATTGGCTAGTTGGCAGTTACAAGTGAAATCTCCCCTAGGCCTTGGTCCCCAAGCCTCGGATGGAATTGGCATTTTTCTGTGATCTGATAGTTAAATTATTGATGATTGCATAAGGTAATCCTCCCCAACAGGTATAAAGCACACTAATAGCCCCTTCCTGCCTTTTAATTTAAAAATCTTCTCAGTAGAGATTTTTGAATCCTGGCTTTTGTTTGCTAAATTAAAATGGCATGTGTTTTTGTTTTAGAAAGCAGGGTGTTTTTTGTTTTTTTTTTAATTTTTTTTTTTTATGCCCAGTGTGAGGAGAGGAAGTAAAATAAGTCTTTTGAAAGTGTGCCCATCCATTCATGGCTTAAAGACTCCAAGTACCAGCTACCCTCCCACCACCACGTGGAGGAAATAGATGTGATTTGTGCAACTCACCTGTTGATTGTATTTTTGTAGTTATTTATCTTATAATCTAATCGCCACCGAGCACCAAGACTGCCTTTGGCATATAGCAAGGCCAGGGCTACCTGGTCTGTATGAGGTTGGTGCCCCATAGGTCCTGGCCCGGGTCTGGGTCATCGGCTCCTGGGTCAGGACATGTCCGTGTGCTGCTGCTCAAACTGCCTTCAGACAGCCAGTGATAGAAGACATATGCTCTGCACACAGCATTTTGTTCTGATTTATTTTAGGCCAGTTAAGATGCTTTTAGCACGAAGAGTGGCGGATCTCACTCACATTCTGAGAACCATTGGAGTTTTCAAGCTCAAGTACTTTTTTTTTCAATCCAAATTTAGGAATTGCCTTTTAGAGTAGCAAACAGCACACGGGCACGCCTTTTAACCCACTTTTAAAGAAAGATATTTCAACCATCCTCATTGGATCTGGAGACCCATCCCTTCAGCCGGAGTCTAGAAACAGCCCACTGTTAATAACAAGTAAAAAACAAAGTCGATCACAGAGGCTAGGGGTCCCAGGGTGGGAGCATCCTCAGACATGTACTGAGCCCTGGTCCCGTGCACAGTTCTTCCTGCTAAAGCTGTAATGTTATCACGTGGGAGAATCCCCACCCAGCCGAGACACTGTCACGCTCCACAGGGCCACTCGCCAGCGTGACCCACAAGCTGGAGCATGCCCCTCAAGTGATGAAGGGACCCGTGCAAATACCATTACATTAAGGCGAACCTAGACGGGTCTTTGTTCATTGTGGTTCTGCCCTAGCTTCAGGCACTACTTCTGACAATGGGAAAACAGCAGACAGACAAACAGAAGGGACCCGGGAACACGAGGAAATACATCGGCTCTCCAAGGAAAATGCCCTGGAAGCTGCTACAGGGACGTGGGAGAGGAAAGGCTTCCTGAAGCCTTGGGGGCTCTTCACTTCTGGTGTGAGCTGGAGCCTGCTCCCTGTGAGGGCTGCTGCAGGGCAGTAACACCAGCAGTAGCCCGCATTGGCAGATCCTTACTTTCAGTTTCTGTTTGAGAAGGTATCTCTACAGGGTCAAATACTGGAGATAAGTGAATCCCTCTCTGAAAACTAACATTTTTCAGGCAATGTGTGTTAATCGAGGTTCACATTAAACTCATACATAGGAGCAATCACACATTCCACTCTTCATGTGAATTACATCTTTTTGATATAACATAGATGACAGACCCCCTGAATGCATCATAGGCACGTTGCAGACAATTTAGAAGATAGAGAAATGAAGGTGAGGGGGGATGTCTTGTGC